CACCAAATCCTTATAAGTGAATATGTATCCAGATATAATTACAGGAACCAGGATAATGAAGAGGAACCAGGGAGGTAAAGGAAAAAAAAGAAATCTGGAAGAGAAGAACAGTAGAAAACAGGTATTAAAAGGGAGATATGAATAAAAATGGGGTTATTTTAAGGTGAGGAGGGAGGGAAGGTTATACAAGGGACCTAGGGGATAAAGGGAAAGGAGTTCAAGAGAGATGGGACCATAGGAAAAGGGTATTATTAAGGGAGAATGGGAAAAACAGGGCACCTTTAATGGGGAAAACCATGGTGGAAGGGTTAAACAATGTGAGAGATAAATAATGCCTAGCTAGTTGTAGAAAACCAGAGGGAAGCATATTAGGCCAACAACCTGCTGACAAATTATACATATAACCAGATCAAAGACTGTAATATATGTCTAGGCAAGGTTTACCTGAGAGCATTTGGTCTTTGCCCAAGCTCTAGCTACGTGGCACATCATAATTAAAAGTACCAGACTGGTGGAATTAACCTTCTTGGATGTTTAACAGACATACTTTGAGGCCTATACTAATTTGGTCTGAGGGACATCAAGGACAGTTTTTGCTCCTTTCCCTCCTAGGTCGACTAAGTTCCAGGAGACTATGAGCATCTCTGGAAATGTCCTGTAACTGTGGTGAGTCACCTGTCCTCTTGATCAGGGAGGCCGTGGAGACCCCACCAGATGGACCTCAACCAGTGTCCAGTCCTCAAAGAGGAGGGTCAACACAGAGGAAAAATTTCCTCTATGCTTCCAAGCGAAGCCAATCATGGTCAAGCAGGACCTTTGACTTATCTTCACATAGACAGAACTGGTAAAAGAAAGGAGCCCGGGGCTCCTCCCAAGCCCATGTGACCCCTGAGGAACAGATCTTCAAACGACCTTAGGAGTAAAAATAAATTGGTTTATCTGGGCCAGTTGTATGTAGGGTCTTAAACACCCAAAAGGAAAGTATAACCAAAGATTAATGGGGTCAATATAATTTTTAAGAGTCCATATGTATAGCTAAAGGCTACATTAACAAGAAACAATACCAGACAGGCGATTCCTTCCTTTGAGTTATTGGCCTCGGTGGCCCAAGAGACTCCCAGACAGTAACCCAGTATAGAACTGGGAAAATGAACAGCAGACCCCAATCTTATCTAAAGGAATATTGACAACTGATTGCTGCTAGATGAGGAACAGTTGAAAACAAGGATCTCTAGATAGGCTGACTAGATTTAGCAGATGGACAAGCACTGGGGAATGGCTGGGGTGCCGACAACACAGTGGACAGTAACAGGGATGATAGAGTATATGGGCTCCAGTGTGTGGTAGGTGGGAGGCTATGGGAGGGTACCATTTGGGAAGTGGGTATATAGTGAATAAGACTGTGTGGGATGTTCTATATGATATACACACAGAAAAATCAACAAGTTTAAAAGACTTTTATTTGAGGAGCTCTGATTTGAAGAGACAGCTATTCCCTGCCACCTGAAACATCTTCAGGCTTCATTGGGACATTTAAACTTTTGCTCATGGTGAGCAGTAAGGAAGGCAACTCTGCCCTTCTTTATGAGGTGGCAGTGGCCAAAGAATGAGCACTGCTATTCTACAGAGAGCACAAAGGACACCTCCAAAAAGGACCACTTCCCAAGAGAGAATGCCAGCTACAAGTCAAGAGCACAAAGGCCTGGAAGAGTCAGCTCAGCAGTCAAAAGCACTGGCTACTCTTGCAGAGGACCTGAGTTCAATTCCCAGCACCACATGGCAGCTAACAACTGTCTGTAACTCCAGTTCCAGGGGATCAAACACATGTAGGGCAATATGCGCATACACATAAAGCAAAAATAATAAAATATTTAAAAAGTTGGCACTCTGTGTCTTTTTTAATTTCAGGCTAAACATACAGGACAGTTCAGAGAGGTTAAAAAAAAATCAAATAAAATAAAGAGACCAAAACAAGTTTAAGAAACTATTATGAAGCCAGGCGTGGTGGCGCACGCCTGTAGTCCCAGCACTTGGGAGGCAGAGGCAGGTGGATCTCTGAGAGTTAAAGGCCAGCCTGGTCTACATAATGAGTTCCAGGACAGCTGGGGCTATAGAGAGACCCTGCTTCAAAAAGACAAAAAAAAAAGAAACTATTATATGCCTATATTACTAATGTATAAATATTACATTAACTAACATTTAATTGCATAAGATAATGCTTAGAGTAATATTCTCAGAACTGCATCTAAAGACCATGATCTTTACCTGCAGAAGTTTAAAAAGCTCATCTTTCAGCTGGTTTTCCTCCAGGTCTTTGAGTGGTCTTGGCAACTGTTGCAAGTATGAGCATAACATAGCGATTGACTCCTGTGACTCAAAGAAATTCTCATCTTTGCTTTCTTTAAATACATCAAAGTCATGGATTGGTGGACTAAAAAAGCAAGAGAAAAATGTAAACATTTATGTAAATCCTTACTTTTTTTTTTTTACTTTAAATGCATTGGTATATTTCTTTCCTCTTCATATTAATTCCAATTTCCATTATGACCTTTTCATTCAGGGAAAAGAAAATGAAAAGAAAAAAGAAAAAGGAAGAACTTACACATGCCTATGCCTTTTTCTTGCTTATGATAATCTCAGGAGAAAATTCTTTTTATTTACCTAACATCCTGCAAGAAGAAACAACTTTGATGTGGTCAAAGAAGTGGCTTTTTGTCACTCAGGAAGTACCAGAAACAATATTTAATTGCCCAACTTTTGCCTCTAGAGTGTGGCTTTTAAATCAATATGCTATATAGTCTCACAAATAAAAATACATGAAACAGATAAACTGGGACATTTGAAGTCAAATAAGGACAGTGTATGTCCACTGAAACCTCAAGTTGGAGCATATCTTTTGACAAATCCTAGTATTGGCTCTGAGAGATTACTTCTATATACAATATGTGGTGGTTTGAATGAAAACGTCCCCCACAGGCTCCAAGCATTTGGACATTTTGTCCCCAGATGATGGCGCTGTCCTGGGAGGTCTCAGAAGGTGTGGCTATCCTAGAAGCACGTCACTCCTTACATTTTCTTCTTCTTTCAAAAAAATATACTTAGGTGCTAGAGAGATGGCTCAGCAGTTAGCAGCACTAGCTGCTCTTGCAGAAGACCCAGGTTCAAATCCCAGCACCCACATAGTGGCCAACAACTGTCTATAACTCCAGTTCCAGGGGCTCCGACACCCTCTTCTGTCCTCCACTGCATTGTACAAATGGGTGTACTTACATTCATGCAGGAAACACACTCAAAACACATAAAAATTTTTTAATTTATTTTTATGTGTATGAGTATATTGCCTGCATGTATGTGAGTGCACCTGTGTCATGCAATACCACAGAGGTCAGAAGAGGGCTTTGGATTCCCCTGGAACTGGAGTTAAGGATGGTTCGTAGCCACCATGTGGGTGCTGGGAATCAAATCCGGGTCCTCTGCAAGAGCAGTCAGTGCTCTTAACCGCTGAGCCATCTCTCCAGCCCCTAAAACACATAAAATTAAAAAAAACACTTTAGAGCTGGGTGTGATGGCATACACCTTTAGTCCCAGCACTCAGGAGGCAGAGGAAGGTGGATCTCTGTGAGTTCAAGGCCAGCTGGGGCTACAGGGAGACCCTGTCTCAAAAACAGAATAAAACAAAACAAAACACACACTTTGGTGAGTACAGTTCCTTAAAGGGAGGAAAGCATCATTGTCACCAGAGTTTTCTAGGGTCCCTTGCCCCTGGCACTATTAGACAAACCACGTAACATATCTTTATCTGAATTTTTCAGTTTATATCCTGGGGAGGGGGAATAGAGTAACTAACAGAATCCCTGCTCCTGTTCCACTCAGTGGCTCAGCAGCCAGCTGTTCGAGATTGCTTCTGCGGCCCACCTACAGTCACCGTTAGTTTCGCCCATGCCTTGTGGGCCCGAGGCCTCGCCCCTGGGCAGTAAATGCCCTGTCTCGAGTCCACTCTGGACACCGGGGCCATTCTTTTTTGCTTAGCACCACTTCTCTTCCAAGATGGTGCCCAAAAGCCCTTCCTTCCGCGGCTAACACTCTGCAGTCAATTCTCCACAGCAGGCTCCGTCCCTCGGAGGAACCAGGCCGCTTGGGACAACCATCCAGTCTCAATAACTGTACTGATGGATACTAGACACAGAGCAGACAACCAAATGACACAAATAAATCCCCCAACCTATCTTAATTATTAAAAGTTCTCAGCCAGGCATGGATGTGTGTACCTTTAATCCCATAATTTGGGAGTCAAAGGCAGCAGGATCACTTCAACACAGAGGTCCACCTGTTCTACACAGGGAATTCCAGTCCAGCTGGGACTACAAGGAAAAAATTGGAAAAAACAAAAAAAAAAAAAAAAGACAAAAAAATGAAGAAATAAGTAAATAATCTTGTTCTCAAATCAACTATTTTACTAGAACTACCAAGTTATTTTATAAAGACTATGCCCATAAATACTTACCCATCAGATCAGGGCAAAAGGAGAAATATTAGCAAGATTTTAATATAACTACTTCAGTGCCCAGTGTAGAAGACTCCTCAAACAAGCATGTGAATGTAAACAGAACATGTGATCACCACAGTGGTCACTAAGAGTCAGACCCAAAGGACCTACCATTACCATGAACGCATCAAGTACTGAAGCACGTTACTTTTTGTTGTTGTTGTGTTGGCTGTTTTTTGGGGGACAGGTTTTCTTTTCTTTTCTTTCTTTTTTTTTTTTTTTTTTCCTGAGACATGGTCTCCCTGTAGCACCAGCTGACCTGAAACTCAATATGAAGACCAGGCTGGCCCTGATCTCTCAGAAATCTGCCTGCCTCTGCCTCCTGAGTGCTAGGATTAGAGGCGTGCATCACTATACCCAGCTGAGACCAATCACATTTATTACTCTTGTAAGTTTTATTAGAAAGATAATTTTTGATCATTTACACATAGATTTTTTTTTGGCAAATTTTACTCCTAGATTAATTTTACAAAAGATAAAGTTTGTGTCATTGTTATAAGCTTCATGAGAAATTATATGAGAACAACAACTAAGAAGATAAAAATATTGTTGCCTCATAAGTTCTTGTAAAGATTAGATGGAGCAAGGGTAAACGAAACCCAGAATTCAACACATCAGCGGAGTATATTCACAGCCATCCCTCCCCACTCCTCTGTTCATTTCCATTTCAGTTAATGGAGTGTCATTTTTAATTAAAATTCTCCATTTGCAATGCAAAATCTAAATGCAATAAACCACAAGACTCCATTCCATAAGGACCTAAGCTCTAAGCCTTCCTTCTTCAAATGAGACATTTTGTGCATTGGAGTGGAAGGCTAGTTGTAACTATAAGAATTGTACTTAATCCTGAGAGAAAGGCTTGAGCAAATGCTGCATGTATGTCCTTTGCTCAAAAGAATAGATATACCAGGTAAAGGATGATGTCATGTTTTAACTATGTTAAACAACTGACTGTTATAGTTGTTAAACAACAAAAATTGTCATCTTCAGGTTGGGAAAATGACTCATTCATTAAAGTACTTCCGACACAAGTATGAAGACCTGAGTTCAGATCCCAAGCTGTGTGAAAACCGGATATAGCAGCACAGGGCATGGGTGGAGACAGACAGACCCCTGGAGTTCATCAGCTACCTGGCTCCAGGTTTATTGAGACCCTGTCTCAAAAAATAAGCTGGAGCCAGGTGTGGTGACACACTCCTTTAATCTCAGAACTCAGGAGGCAGAGGCAGGCAGATCTCTGTGAGATTGAGGAACATAGTGAGTTCCAGGGCAGCGTGAGCTACAGGGAGACTCTGTCTCAAAACCAAAACATTGGCTGGAGAGATGGCTCTTGCAGAGAATCCAGGTTAACAGCCATCCATAACTCCAGTTCCAGGGGATCTGACACCCTCTTTGACCCCCACGGCCACTGCACAACATGGGTGCACTTACATACATGTAGATAAAAAATAAAAATAAATAAAAATAATTTAAAAAATTTTTTTTATTTTTTATTTTATGTGTATAAATGTTTTACCTGCATGTATGTAAGTGCACACATATTGTTCAATGCTTGCAGAGGCCAGAAAAGGATGTTGGATCCCCCAGAACTGGAATTACGGATAGTTATTAGCTGTCATGTGGGTGCTGGGAACTGAACCAGGTCCTCTGCAAGAGCAGCTAGTGCTCTTAACTGCCGCGTCATCTCTTCAGACCTAATTTTTCTTTTTGAGGACTGTAAGCTGGCTCTAAAAGAAATCCCAAAGAATTCAAAGGTATATTTAGCAATGACAGCATTTACTGAAATCAGTTAGTCCCTGGCGGTGGCCTAAAATGGCAGACACCATTTGAACACATAGGTTCAAATGCAGGGGTCAGCAAAGAGAAGTTCACAAACCTAATCCAACCTGTTCTGAATGACTCACAAACCAAAAGTGGTTTTTAAATTTCTGAATGGTTAAAAACAAAGCAAAAGAAAAGTGAGTCAAGTGTGGGGGCCTGCGCCTGCAATCCCAGAGCGAGGAGGCTGGGCAGGAGGGCCACTGTACTCCCAGAGCGAGGAGGCCAGTAGGAGGACCACTATACTCCCAGAGCAAGGAGGCCAGCAGGAGGACCACTGTACTCCCAGAGCGAGGAGGCCAGCAAGAGGACCACTGTACTCCCAGAGCGAGGAGGCTGGGCACGAGGGCCACTGTACTCCCAAGAGCAAGGAGGCCAGCAGGAGGACCACCGTACTCCCAGAGCGAGGAGGCCAGCAGGAGGACCACTGTACTCCCAGAGCGAGGAGGCTGGGCACGAGGGCCACTGTACTCCCAGAGCAAGGAGGCCAGCAGGAGGACCACTGTACTCCCAGAGCGAGGAGGCCAGGCAGGAGGATCACTGTACTCCCAGAGCGAGGAGGCTAGGCAGGAGGACCACTATACTCCCAGAGCAAGGAGGCCAGCAGGAGGACCACTGTACTCCCAGAGCGAGGAGGCTGGGCAGGAGGGCCACTGTACTCCCAGAGCGAGGAGGCTGGGCAGGAGGGCCACTGTACTCCCAGAGCGAGGAGGCTGGGCAGGAGGGCCACTGTACTCCCAGAGCGAGGAGGCTGGGCAGGAGGGCCACTGTACTCCCAGAGCGAGGAGGCTGGGCAGGAGGGCCACTGTACTCCCAGAGCGAGGAGGCTGGGCAGGAGGGCCACTGTACTCCCAGAGTGAGGAGGCCAGCAGGAGGACCACTGTACTCCCAGAGTGAGGAGGCTAGCAGGAGGACCATTGTACTCCCAGAGCGAGGAGGCTAGGCAGGAGGACCACTATACTCCCAGAGCAAGGAGGCCAGCAGGAGGACTACCTGAAGGTATGGCTTCATAGTAAATCTAGGCCAGTCAACCTTGTCTTAAAATAAAAAGAAAAAAATGAAAAATG